TCTTACCCCAAGATTCGTATATAGACATGGGTCAAAATTTACCACCCCCATAACTCGGTCAAATCTCATCCGATTTTCACGAAGTTTGGATTTTTCTTCATGGTTTTCCCTCTAGATTAATCTGGCATTTAAATCTCGACACCGATTTTTTGGTCGAAGTTCATGTCCAAATCTTACCCCAAGATTCGTATATAGACATGGGTCAAAAATTACCACCCCCATAACTCGGTCAAATCTCATCCGATTTTCACGAAGTTTAGATTTTTCTTCATGGTTTTCCCTCTAGATTAATCTGGCATTCAAATCTCGACACCGATTTTTTAGTCGAAATTCATGTCCAAGTCTTACCCCAAGATTCGTATATAGACATGGGTCAAAATTTACCACCCCCATAACTCGGTCAAATCTCATCCGATTTTCACGAAGTTTAGATTTTTCTTCATGGTTTTCCCTCTAGATTAATGTGGCATTCAAATCTCGACACCGATTTTTTAGTCGACATTCATGTCCAAATCTTACCCCAAGATTCGTATATAGACATGGGTCAAAAATTACCACCCCCATAACTCGGTCAAATCTCATCCGATTTTCACGAAGTTTAGATTTTTCTTCATGGTTTTCCCTCTAGATTAATCTGGCATTCAAATCTCGACACCGATTTTTTAGTCGAAATTCATGTCCAAATCTTACCCCAAGATTCGTATATAGACATGGGTCAAAATTTACCACCCCCATAACTCGGTCAAATCTCATCCGATTTTCACGAAGTTTGGATTTTTCTTCATGGTTTTCCCTCTAGATTAATCTGGCATTTAAATCTCGACACCGATTTTTTGGTCGAAGTTCATGTCCAAATCTTACCCCAAGATTCGTATATAGACATGGGTCAAAAATTACCACCCCCATAACTCGGTCAAATCTCATCCGATTTTCACGAAGTTTAGATTTTTCTTCATGGTTTTCCCTCTAGATTAATCTGGCATTCAAATCTCGACACCGATTTTTTAGTCGAAATTCATGTCCAAATCTTACCCCAAGATTCGTATATAGACATGGGTCAAAATTTGCCACCCCCATAACTCGGTCAAATCTCATCCGATTTTCACGAAGTTTAGATTTTTCTTCATGGTTTTCCCTCTAGATTAATGTGGCATTCAAATCTCGACACCGATTTTTTAGTCGAAATTCATGTCCAAATCTTACCCCAAGATTCGTATATAGACATGGGTCAAAATGTACTACCCCCATAACTAGGTCAAATCTCATCCGATTTTCACGAAGTTTGGCTTTTTCTTCATGGTTTTCCATCTAGATTAATCTGGCATTCAAATCTCGACACCGATTTTTTAGTCGAAAATCATGTCCAAATCTTACCCCAAGATTCGTATATAGACATGGGTCAAAAATTACCACCCCCATAACTCGGTCAAATCTCATCCGATTTTCACGAAGTTTAGATTTTTCTTCATGGTTTTCCCTCTAGATTAATGTGGCATTCAAATATCGACACCGATTTTTTAGTCGAAATTCATGTCCAAATCTTACCCCAAGATTCGTATATAGACATGGGTCAAAAATTACCACCCCCATAACTCGGTCAAATCTCATCCGATTTTCACGAAGTTTAGATTTTTCTTCATGGTTTTCCCTCTAGATTAATCTGGCATTCAAATCGCGACACCGATTTTTTAGTCGAAATTCATGTCCAAATCTTACCCCAAGATTCGTATATAGACATGGGTCAAAAATTACTACCCCCATAACTCGGTCAAATCTCATCCGATTTTCACGAAGTTTAGATTTTTCTTCATGGGTTTCCCTCTAGATTAATCTGGCATTCAAATCTCGACACCGATTTTTTAGTCGAAATTCATGTCCAAATCTTACCCCAAAATTCGTATATAGACATGGGTCAAAATTTACCACCCCCATAGCTCGGTCAAATCTCATCCGATTTTCACGAAGTTTAGATTTTTCTTCATGGTTTTCCCTCTAGATTAATGTGGCATTCAAATCTAAACACCGATTTTTTAGTCGAAATTCATGTCCAAATCTTACCCCAAGATTCGTATATAGACATGGGTCAAAAATTACCACCCCCATAACTCGGTCAAATCTCATCCGATTTCCACGAAGTTTGGCTTTTTCTTCATTGTTTTCCCTCTTGATTAATCTGGCATTCAAATCTGTACACCGATTTTTTAGTCGAAATTCATGTCCAAATCTTACCCTAAGATTCGTATATAGACATGTTTCAAAATTTACCACCCCCATAACTCGGTCAAATCTCATCCGATTTTCACGAAGTTTAGATTTTTCTTCATGGTTTTCCCTCTAGATTAATGTGGCATTCAAATCTAAACACCGATTTTTTAGTCGAAATTCATGTCCAAATCTTACCCCAAGATTCGTATATAGACATGGGTCAAAAATTACTACCCCCATAACTCGGTCAAATCTCATCCGATTTTCACGAAGTTTAGATTTTTCTTCATGGGTTTCCCTCTAGATTAATCTGGCATTCAAATCTCGACACCGATTTTTTAGTCGAAATTCATGTCCAAATCTTACCCCAAAATTCGTATATAGACATGGGTCAAAATTTACCACCCCCATAGCTCGGTCAAATCTCATCCGATTTTCACGAAGTTTAGATTTTTCTTCATGGTTTTCCCTCTAGATTAATGTGGCATTCAAATCTAAACACCGATTTTTTAGTCGAAATTCATGTCCAAATCTTACCCCAAGATTCGTATATAGACATGGGTCAAAAATTACCACCCCCATAACTCGGTCAAATCTCATCCGATTTCCACGAAGTTTGGCTTTTTCTTCATTGTTTTCCCTCTTGATTAATCTGGCATTCAAATCTGTACACCGATTTTTTAGTCGAAATTCATGTCCAAATCTTACCCTAAGATTCGTATATAGACATGGGTCAAAATTTACCACCCCCATAACTCGGTCAAATCTCATCCGATTTTCACGAAGTTTGGATTTTTCTTCATGGTTTTCCCTCTAGATTACTCTGGCATTCAAATGTGAATAATATAATATATAATAGGTACATAAAGATAACTAGCTTCAAACATAATTATATGTTGTGAATTTTATATTTATATTTGCCTACATCTTTTACCCGTAATATTAATAAAATAATAAGAAACAAATTGAGGGAGTGCGCGTGAACTTGCCTAATTTGCTTTCTTTTACTTATAAATCCCTGTCCCCTATCATTTGCACTTGCTACATACAACATTTTTGAGGCAAAAGACCAGTTTTAAAACCATATTTACCTATTTTGTTTTCATCTAATTAAAATTTTCTGTTGTTAGGCTACTTGTTAGCCCATCGCGTAATGTCCGTGTATCCCTACGGGAGCAATTTGTTTGCCATTCTTGGAGAAAGTGAGGTTTATTCAGATCAGTGAAAGTTTATTGTATGATGTACAAGTTAGACACGACGGATTTGATGGCCTCTTACGTTCACTTGAGTAGAAACAGGGAGATTTTTAAAAATAAGCGAACATATTCCTACACAAACAATGACTTTTTAGCGGGAAGGAGACGCAAGAAAATGAGGAAATAACTTAAGTTAAGTGATTTTTTACAAATCGATAACGCTATGGATAATCTTAATTATAGATAACACAATGGAGTAATTATTCAATAACTAAACTTTATCGATAAAACAATCGTTAACATAATCAATTAAATAAACGATTGCACAGATTCAATTGTCAAAATTAAAATAGTCATAAATCTCTGTTAAAATCCTTCAGGCAAAAGTAAGCAAATTCTATTTCAAATATTAAAATTCCTCATAAAAAAAAGCTTGACGTGTTCATAAAATTCTTGGCTACTTCTTAAATGGAGCTTACTGGCAGCAGCTTGTCTTGAGTTATTTAAGATTTTTACATGCATTTTATTTTGGTTTCATAAACTTGCTATAGGCCAACAATTTTTGAGATCTAAACTGGATTTTGTCAATTTCTGTCTAGCTGTAAATTAATTTGCACAGGACTTTACAGCTCAGGCTGTGTAGAGCAGTAAATTAGCAACTGTTCAACATTGCTACGTGTGTATGTGAGTGTGTGTGAAGCGTGCGTGTGTGTCTTTATATGTGTGAGTGTACCACCTGCATGTGCGCAGCCGTTGCCTTATTGTGTTTTAGGCTTTTATATGCCCAATTTTATGCGCACACATAAAAGCCATTTACACACGCACACAGACGTGCGTGTATGGCTGGGAGTGTGTACGTGTACATGTGTGTCTGTCATTGTATCACATGTGCCACAAAGCGCTTCAAGTGCATACCCTGACCATGCTAATGGCTCAATGGAGCTAAATGCCTGCTAACAACGCTGCGTATACGCAGTATTGAAGCTCTGCTGTCTAGGACAGGTTCATGGCATGTGGCGAAAACTTACAGAAAAAAATGCAAGAGTTTCAACTATCACAGTTGAAGATTAAATACCCTAAAAGTATTATTCAGATTTTCATTAATATTCAATAGGTTAAATATAGGTAGATTTGAATAAATGTTTTGCAATCCTATATCAAATTTTGAGCTATTGTTCCGATCTGACCTACTTCGATATATAAACCAGCAGCAAACAGAAGGATACGTTCAAAACCTGAGCAACATGAACTTGGAGCTGTCTACCTACAATGCGTCACACAATTCCTCACGAACTTCCAAAACCCTCTGCAAGGGTATGAAAAAAAAAACAGAACAGAAAAAAGCCCTACATGTGACAATGGACAGCAACAGGCACAAGCAAGCAGCTTAATTGCATTGGAGCAGCTTCCAGGCAGTTGCCCAAACCAACTGGTCTTAGTCTAATGTAGTCAAGCCATTTGGCTTGGCTGTTAAGCACTATGCGGGGCCCTGAATAGTGTCTGGCCTAAAAGCAACAACTTTTTTATTTACATTTAAGGGGAATTATGTGCTAACCCACTTAGCCAATATCATAGTATTTAACTGTACTTTCTTTGCAGATTCATTGATGTGCCCATCGAGTCCTGTGGACGATCCTCGCCGCTACGCATTGCGCTGCAGGCAAATGCGCCCGAACTGCTGCTCATACTGCTCAGGTAAGTGTTGGTGGATGGCTAATAGGGTTAGCCTTGCAGTGCGGTACTTCAATTAGCGCAAACAATATGCATAGCGCTGCGGCACTTGGCTGTGGCAACGACGTCCGCCCTAATGTATGCAACATAAAACTCTATGCGGCGCTTAGCATAATCAAGTGGTACAACTGACAATGACACGCACCACACACCACCCCGCCCGCCGCACCCTTGACAGGCGTCACGCCTTCAAAAGCGCCTCTTCTGCGCGAAGCAAATATTAACATTAAATATGAAAGTCGCTGCCATAGCGCATTTGCATGACAAGGCGACGCGACACGACGCGAGGCGTCTCCATAGTGTCTCATGGCCAGCCCCAGCCAAGAAGCCTGCCACAAACTTACGAGCGTGCACTCAACGGCAGCGGCAACAACAGCAGCAACACCATTGAAATATTCATAAAATTTATATGTAAGCGCTTGCAGTTTCAACTAGTTCTCAGCCAGCTCAGACGCCGTCCTTGGAACTGGTTCTGGGCATTTGTATACCCTTGCAGAGAGTATATCATACAGCTGTCAGAGTCACGATCGGTTGAAAATAAAGTTCTCACATATAAAACTGTTTTTTAAGATATTGTGAACAAACTGTAGAAACAACCGGTTGAATAATAAGTTTTTGCATGGGAAACCTTTCCGCTATTCAAGACATCTTGCCCCAACTGAGCAATTAGGAGCTCAATTCCCCTAATCACATATCAGAAAAGACGAACGCCATGCGTCTGCAAGGGTATTTAAACTTCGGCTTGCCGCAGTTAGTCGTTTTGTTTTATATGTTGTTTTTGGGTTCTGGTTGCTGCCTTTGCGGTTGGCAATTTATTGTTTTATAACTCGATATTGCCTAATGTGCATTTTCTATACATTGTTGCCTTGTTGTTGTCGTTGCTGTTGTGCCACGCCTCATTGCTTGTGTAGCGTTTGGCGCGGGCTCTTTCAATTTTTGATGCAGCGCCAAAAAGTATGCTTTGCATTAAAATGTGAATATTGATTGCCAGCCAAGAAGCGCAGAGAACAGAAACCCAAGCGATTGCAATCAAATCAGAACTAGCACAAGATATTACAATTTATGCCCTATCGCACGAAATTCAAATGCTGCCAGCAATCGCCATAAAATATTTGGAGTTGCTAGTTGAAAACGAGGCGATAAAAGCTGTAATCGTATTCTCCCAATTGCACATTTAAATCAACTAGATATTTTCAAAGCTAACATTTGAGCACAGACATAAATAAAATGTACTGGATCTTCGGTATGTACCACATCCTTGGAGTTTAATTTGTCTAAACGAATCAATAAATGCTGTTTGAATATTTACATTACGTACATTATACAACTACATATTCATATAACATTCAATGTACATGCAAAATATCGTTGTTATGGCTGCATTACATTTTTCAGAGATATACCATCTTTAGAGTTGGATGTGTCTAAACGAATCACCAAACGATGAATGAATATGAATGAAAATAAATTAATTGTTTCGTTAGAACATACTTTACTTTGGTAAAGCACATATTTTTATTTAATTTCGAGATGCAATTTGTAGTATTGTAGCGTTATTCAACAAAATTATGTTTTAAAACCAAATGATATATATTTAGTCCCCGTCAAGCTTACATATATGCAAGGTTGCGAAGGTTATTTTCGACCATTTTGAGTCTTTTGAGTTTATTTCGAATAAATCTAATTGCCCGCGCTTGTTAAAGATTTATTTCAAGCATTCCAAATAGAAACATGATCATTTTGAGCATTTTAAAGCTGAGGGCCTCTTATTTCGGTGTTTGGGTTTGTTTGGCTCTGCTACTCCCTTCTAATCTCTGCTTTTCATATCTCTTAATGCTCTATCGAGCTGTTGCATATATAATACTCTAGGTCATACTTATATAAATAGTTTGCGCAATATAGTATCAGTCTGTAATCAAGGTAGAATTCAAGCTGCCTCAATTGCGATGGCAGGGATTGATGGGAGTGTGGGAAAAATGAAATAAGGGTTGAGTTATTCCTATTGTGGTGCCCATTGTGTTAAGTAGTAGTTTTCTGTGTTTGTTGTTGTTGTTGTTGCTGTTGCTGTTGTTGCATCGTCGCCTTGTTGCCTCTGATTTTCAATTCTCGATTGATTTCGCTGCTGAGGCAGCTATAAATTGTGAATTGCTATTGTTTACGCTTTTCATTTGTGTTTTGCTTTATGCTTTGTTACATTTTCATTTTAAATTGGCCATAAAACATGCAAATTACCGCAATTTGTAGAGAATTTTTCCACGCACCTGCATATATTTTCCTCATATACTCATTTATATTTATTGTCGTTTCACTTCTATATGCGTGTGTCTATCTGTGGTAAATTATGCCAAAGATATATTATGACTGATACAAAAAACGCGCATTCATACACTCAGAAAAAAGAGCAAAATACAATACTTAAATTCTTTAAAATGTGAAGTATTTGATTTTTAACAGATTCCGCTTATGTTCCAATAAGGAGCTATATGCTTTGTATAGATATAGCTCATATGTTAAAAGGATGGTAAGTCTCTTGACAAGTGTGCCAGATATCTTGAATAACTAAACTGTTTTTCATTTAAAAACTCAAATTTCGATTGATATTCCTCTGGTAGCTATTTACTATAGAATTTCCTATAGGGAAAGGTGGGGTCAAATCAGCTGAGAAATACTAAGAGAATTATATACGTGGGAAAAGACTGGAAAACAAAAAAAAAAAAAAGCTTTAAGGACTCGGACTTTCCTAGCAAGCGTAATAACCAATTTATGATACATTTAAAAGGGCAAAAGAGTATGATTAATAAGTTAATACATACTAATTGTTCACTTATTATTAATATTATTATTGTTTTTATTAGTTTTGTTATTTTTTATATTATTTTGAACTACAAATCTAGCAAATGATGTTTGACTCATCTTAATAACAAACACGCATAAAATAAGCGTTAAAAATTTGCATCCGGGCTTTCGTTCAGTGCTTGTATAAATTGTTAAATATAAATTACGTAGCTTATCTGAGCAAAATGCAAATTGAAAAGTAGAAGAAGCGAATGAGACATTTTGAAAAACATTTTCAATTTAAAATGTGACAATGCTGATGCGGTTCAGCGTTCAACATTTGCCATTCGCTGCGAGCTGCCATTGCCGCATGCCACATTTGCACTTCATTTGCAATTTACCACAGTGTGAGTGCGCTTGTGTGTGGGTGTGTGCTGGTGTGGGTGTGAGTGTGTGCACATGACACCGCGTCGACAACATGACCGCGAACTGTTCTGTTCATTATTTCATTTGCGCATACTGTTTATCAGCACTTCAAACATTTATTACCAGTTACCTTGCATCGCAACGCGCTGGTGCGGTCACCGGTTCGAATCCTCTACAAGCATACTTGAGCTGAATGTCGTCTACAAATTACAGTTAACCGCAGAGCATTTGCCCACCTCTTTGGCCCGACCGCAAGCTAACCAACTACGTGCCCCAGCAGCTGGCTGCTGGCTACTGGCTGCCGGCTGCTGGCAGCTCGTTGCACGTAGCCAAATTCGTGACCGCTTCTCATTTCATTTCAGATATGGCGCCGCACCGCAGCCACCCGATGGAGGCACCTCCGTGATAATTGCGCTGCTCGACAAACTCATCGAGAATGGACGCAATTACAGTTACGATCTGGTTCTCTGTCTCAAGATACTCCTGCGTAATGTGTCCATGATCGAAATGCCTTTTAAGGTGAGTCACAAAGCACGAAAGTGAACTTTAGGTATGCGTTCCCAAATACAATTTCTTCTCTATTTCGCCAAGTGTCTTAGAATAAAATGATGTAGCATTTTTAACATTTATCATCATTAAATCTAAATTTTTAAGCTAACTGGATTAAAGGCGAATTTAAGTCGAAAATGTTTATGGGAACATGTGCCTATTATCAATTTGCCTGCCTGACAGAGGAAAATCGTACAAACTTCATATGCGGGGCACGAACTGTCTGTCTTTATCAACTGGCCCAATTCCTATCCTTTTAACTTTTTGCTCACTTTTAAGCTTCCCCTCTCTACTCTTTGCAGCCCATAGTGTATGCGTCACGTCGTGAAATGTTTTTCGAGCGCTATGGACGACTCCTAATGGACAAAATCATTGGCAAGGAACAGGTCTATGGCGTGCCCACACTGCGACACTTGTGCCGGTAATTATCAACTGAGAACTGAAAGCGAACTTTGCTATCGGCTGTGCCCGCCACTGTCCACTTGTCTTTGAAGTCCTGGCTGCTGGGCTCCGTGAAAGGATGATGGCCTGACAGCTAAAGCACATGGCTGCTGTTGGTTGGCAACCAAGTGAAACTTTGTTTCTTATTCAATTACTTTGGCTTAGATTTTGCTGCTACTGCTGCTGCTGCTGTCTCAACGCTTCCCTGACTTTCGACGGTTCTCACAGTTTGCCGCGATAAGCCCGGAAAATTTAATAAGCACAAAAGTCGCAGAAGCGATTCTCCATGGCCCGACTGGGCCTGTCTGATTGATAGACAGTTTGACAAAGCATTTTGTTGACGCTTCTGTTGCGCCTGCCAACTGTATTGTTTCTTATGATCTGATATTGGGTGTAATGGCTTTGTGCAAATGTTGGTAACACCCAGAAGAAAATATCTGCGAAGCCTTAAAGTATATAAATTCCATCTAGCCATATTCGTCTGTGCAGCTACCTGCCTGTTCGTCCATCCGTCCGTTCGTCTATCTATGTGAACGCATCAATCTTAGAAACTTTAAAAGCTTCTTACCTTAAACATTTATATATATGTATGTATATTCGAGCTTGTTAATTTTGAGACTTTTTTGTTTTAGCATAAGTAGAGAATTGTAGAAGCCACATACAACTTTCCTGGTTTTTGCATAGTATACTTAGATTTAGTATATTTCCCCTTTTGCACAAAATTCAAGAAAAAATATTGAGGCTAGAGCCTTCTTCACCTGTATTATTTAGACATATTTGGCTGTCCTAGTTACGCCCTGAAAATTAGGATTTTATTGTCAGTTATTCAAGAATACATTTCCCATTGAGTAGTTTTAATGGAAGGAGAAGCAGAAGACGTGTGTGCTTTGTATTTCTAAGTATGTACCAAAGGAATCTAGAAAAACAGCTAGAATAGTTTCAATTGAGCTGCTGGCGCTGTGTACAGGGTATCTACTAGTCGGGCAATCACGGCTAGAGTTTTTTTCTTTGGCCAACGCCGTTGCCTCTTTTGTGATGTGGCTTGCCGGAAATTCGCTTGCCTTTTGTCTATTATGTCAATCTCTAGGCCTTATCGGGCTCTCGACTTTGTCGCATTTTGGGCAAAGTTGCGTTTAGGCCAACTAGCTAACAGCTGTTGGCCAAATTTAATTGAATTTCGTGCAAATTTGATTAGTACTCAGCATTTAATCGATAAGCTGTCAAGCTATTTACTAATTTGATAAGTTAGCAAAAAAGTTAGGTGTGGCCTGACGTCCGCACTTAGATCGGATTTCAGTGCGGATTGTGGCACGGTGCACACTTTGACCCCGACTTATGTTATTTGCTTCACATGTTTGATATTTGCCAACTCACGTGTCACATAAAAAACCCAACGACTTGCCCCACACAAGCCACGTGTTCTTATGTGTGCTTTTGATACCCAGTAACAAGTGTCTGGTACAAGCAGGCATTCCCCTGTGTTCAATACAAGTTTATCAGTTTATCTCGACATTAAAGCTTATAACGCCCTTTTGGGCGAATTTGACTAGAAATCGGTGACAGATTTCTGTTTTCAATATCCGGGTGTATATTTGTATACTGTATGAAGAAAATTACTCAGCAAGGCAACTATGAACTAGCTTTTATTATTCAAGTTTTCTTGACGACTTCTAAAGATAAATTAGTCACTCATTTTATCAACGTTATCCGCAGCTTAAAGTAAAGATGCATTTTTCGCTTTTGGTAAATTGTGTGTGATATACATTTTTGTTTCCTCTTTTAATATGTAGCTAAAATATGTGAACGAATTGTATACGAATACGAATACGAATTTTTTGTTTTTGGCAGATGTGTATTATATAAATTTTGGTATTTACTTTTTAAATCTGTAGCCAGAACACGAGTGGAAAGTGCAAAGACCAAAGCTGACCACAGCCTACTTTTGCTCGGCATAGTATTTCCCTATAAATTTCAGCTATACGTTTTCCACACATTTTCCACTGTAGCGGTGGTTTTGTAGAAATCGCTAAAACATTATTGAAATTAATTTTTGATATATTTTAAATAGAGCTTAAACTGAGTTTAAGTCAGGGTATCTTCTGGTTAAGCGATGATTTTATCTGCTTGGTATTTACCAGTTTGCCAGTGTGATTTTCTTAGGTGAATGTTTGTGCTGTAAGACCGCGTGCTCGCATATCGAATGACCGCAACTGGACGCATGTGTGTATATTTTCTTAATAAATATATATGGAGGTTTATATAATATTTATATATTTATTTATTTTATGTGCATCTTGCATATTGCGCAGTTGTCGCAGCATTTGCCAGTCAGATTTCAATTGCTGTCGCTGCTGTACTCGCTTGGCTCTTGATTTATGGAATTTTCTTTTTTCGCTTTCATGTAGAATTTATTTTGCTTTGAAAGGCAAGCGCTTTTCAATTTGAGGCTCATTAATGTCACTCAGGCGAACCCATGCGCTGCCACAAAGCGCATTCAAGTCTCAGTCTACATGTTGCGCATACGCCGCGTATACGCTTTGGTAATACCCTTGCAAAGGGTCTTATTTTTTTGTCACGAAATGGGTAATGCTTGGTAAAAGGCGCATGGATGTAATACACATATTATATATAAGATATTCTTGATCTTTATTAGCCGCAGAGCCTACAAAGCAGCTCGTCTGTTTCTCGGTCTATTCCTATGCAATGAAATCTCTCAATAGAAAACAAGCGCGGCAATAACAAGGTTCGCTGTCTGCCAGCAAGAGTATTTGACATTCGTTGTCTCTAACACAGTCGTGTTCTCTTTTGTTCTATGATCGCTTAGTGGCTGGCGCTTTGGGACGGGCTTGCATTCATTGGTGGCGCCTCGTAAAGTGGTCAAAAGAAGAGGCGCACATAATTTGCAGCCCTCAATAATGTTGACAACGCAAATTAACGGCTACATAAAAAGTTGCTGCCGGTTGGCTGCGGCGGACAGCTTATGCGACAGATTTGCATATTTTAAAGCTGATGTCGCGTTTTATGGAGTTCATTTTTTGCGTTCAAGTAGTCTGAATTTTACATACAAAAATTCACAATTGCCTCTCGTGTGCGCACTTTCACACACACACACACACACACATGCGAGTATTAGCAAGTTTGTTCTATGGCCTTCGCGAAAGCAGATTTCACTATGCCTTAAAAAGACGCTTGATTGCGCGCGAATCAAGTGGGGAAAGTGAAAAAGTGTACGGAATAAGAAAAGAACGAAGAAAAATCTACACACAATTTCCGGCACTTGAACTTCTCTCGTCCGCTTTGCACGCTGTGTCCTTAGGCAAATAGAGTATATTCGTTAAAAGTAGAATGTGCCCGGCTCTCTATATTTGTCAACGATATATTTTTTTTGTTAACATATGCAATATGCTACAAAAAACTTGGCATAAATTCCGTTCGCCCTGTAAAGATGGCCCTTCTGAAGTATATTCAGATAAAAAACATTCCATTTGCTACTAGTCGTTGCTTACGAAACCAAATTAAAAAATTTGCTTGGAGATGCAATCCTGATTTTCTATAAATAAAAACATAAGAGTCTTATCTATAAGGGCTGAAAATGAAAATTTTAGTAAAAACCACCAAAGTAAAGAATCTATTTATTACAGTATGGAGCGGAGGATGAAGAGGAATTAAAATCGATATCAATGCTTTGTTTCATTTTGTGCTTCTACAAAAGCTTGAGGCCTGAAATTTGCAATATTTGTTCTCATTTAACACACTTGAAAGTTTCCCTCCATATTTCTCACGCTTTTCATAACGTCGATTAATATCGATTTTGAGACATAGTTTTTTATGCAAAGTTTGAAAACTGTAAGTGTAATATATGCTAATCTTGGCATATTGCTACTCGTATAGCATAAGAATAAGAATATTTTACTTCTTAAAATATTTGAAATTATAAACTCATTTTTCAAGGTGGAGCCTTGTACTTTTGCATATCTACACTCCAGAGCACCCAAAGCAGAGAACCAGGGTGAGTGTGTGTTTGTGTGTATGTTTGTGTGAAGAATAAAGCTAGCTGCAGGGTATCCCCTAGTCGGGCACTACCGATTGGGCACATTGTTTCCGTTTTTACCGTATGCCACAAAAAAATCGCATAAGTAAAGTTGTGCAAAAGTAAAGTTTATAAAAATTTTCTTACAACAAAAGTTTTAAGCACATGAACTTTGCTGAGCTTAGCTCGCCTTTTTTGTTGTTGTCGTGATTCTTTCTACTTTTTTCTATATCAGCTTATTATGTGAAACTTAAATTAATTTATGAAATAGCTACTAAAGATTGACAGGCAGTGGGTTGCGCTGCAAAAGGCAAAAGTGAAACTTGCAGAAAGCTGGTATTTTCACGAGGATTTTCTGGTAATATATTTAACAAATTTGGCAGAAAGATAGTTTCTGAGCCCAAAGTAAAACACAAATATTTGTAATATTATAACAAAATTCTTTATCTTCCCTTTCTGCTCGCTCAGTTGTCGCGTTCGGGATATACTGCGAGAACATAATCAACTGCCGAATGGCATCGATACGCTGCGCCTGCCCAAGCGACTGCAGCGCTACATTGACCTCACCGAGGAGCTGGAGGGAGCGGAGCTGCAGCACCAGCGGCCACAGCCGCTGCCCGAGAAGCCAATGCAGCGGCTGACAAGTGCCATGCAGCGACTGGACACCATCAGCAGCAGCGGCGCAGAGACCGAGGATGAGAGTGAGAATCATGTGCAGCTGCTGGAGGCAGTCACCGATGCTGAGAAGGCAGCTGTCGCCGCCTTTATGACCACTGGCGATGGCGCCATCACCGACGAGGCCAAACAAGCGGCCGTTGCCGCCTATGTGGCGGCCAACGAAGCAGGCCAAGCCCCGCGGAGCCCGCCCCACCCGCCTCGCCCACCCTCGCCAATAAGCTAACTATAAAGTTATGTTACACTCACCGATAGGTCTCCTCGCTAATGTTTATGCGACCGGGCACGCCGGTGGTTTCGGTGCGGCTCGTCAGGTTGACGGTGTTGCCAAAGAGGCAATAGCGGGGCACGCGATTCCCAATGACGCCGGTGACCACCTCGCCCGAATGGATGCCAATGGTGATTTGCTGTGTTTGGGTTGAAAAAAATACGAATATTTAAGACATTATGTATAGGACAAGCAAAGCTCTTTAATTTCTAATTGATTTACTGAATAAAATGTAACTTAACACCCAGCCAAAAAGCATGTGCCGCGCGCAGATTACCAAGTCCAACACTTCATTGTGCTAATAAAGTTTCAGCGCAAAAAATAAAAGGAAAAAACAAAAAAGATGAGTAAAACCCTCAGCGAAAGCCAACAAAAATGGCTCGAGTTCTGCACGAAAATGTTCCAAGTTGCAAGTTCCAAGCCAAACCAAGGAAAAGTTGCCACAATTACTTTGAAAAAGTTGCAGTTGCTACTGCCATTGCCTCTGCTGGTGCTGCTGCTGCGGTGGCCAAAACTTTGCTTTAATTAAATTTAAAACGAAATGAGCTGCGGCTGCGGAAAAGTACCAGAAGCCAGAACCCAAAAACCCAAAAAGCAAAAGGCGACAATTCTCCGTAGGTGACGTTGCCAAAAATGGTCAGGAATGTGTAGGTAAGCAGTTGGCTAGTTGAGCAGCATGTGTGCTTGGCTAGAGTTTCAAAGACTTACGTTTAAAAGCTACAATTGCAACAACAATGCATTAGACTAGAGTGTTTGGCTAAGAGTTACCCTCTACCTTAAAGATTCTTGATATGCTTTCAGGCATACTACACATGTTTTCAACTATCGGAAATATAGCTCATCTATTAGGTTAGATGTCTTATTGTCCCTCAGGCGAAAAGCTTTTAAAATCTCAGAGGAGTCAGTTACTTGTTACGGTAGGAAGATATGAAAGCGATAGAAACGCGATATCACCAAATATATAGGAAAGTTAAGTCAGAGTCGGAGCGACGCTACTTTTAGTTTACAAAATAGGAAATGATAAAGTTTTGGTTTTTTTGTGTGAGGCTTGAAAGCGAAATCAACTCATATCAAAGTGCGCCATTTTTTTCGTAAGGAAGATGTGAAAGCGATAAATAAACAATATTGACTATGCGAGATATCTACGAGCTGAGTCACTTTCTTATATGTCACGAAATGGAGTGCAAGGCTTATACATATACATATGTGTAAAAGCATCGGCAATCAGCAGGCCCTCTACCCTCTAATGATTCTCTACAGGGTATTGAAAAAACATTACGCTGCAGTAATTACGTGTCTTAGTTTAGCCAATAGAACAAGAGAGGTCACACAAGAGTGCAATGTGGGGAAAACTGTCGAAAACTTTCCTCTATTCATTTGGACTGCATTGAAAAGCGAAGCCAAGCTTTTATAGTTGTATTTTTAGTCCCGAACTGCAACAGGGTTGTATTCAGAAACTGAGTGGTAACTGAATCAAATCAATGCCTGGCCGACCATGTGGCAGCAAAATGCAATTTTGATAAGTGGGTTTAGCACGAGAGTGAAGTTGTTATAGTCTCCTCCTCTCCCTCTCGCTTCATTTTTCTATATCTTTAAAAATAAGTGTAAGAGTTTAGCAACAGTAGAATATTGTAAATTATTTTTATTCATGATTGCACTACACATAGACGCATGCTCAAAGCGTTTAACTAGTTTTTAAGACATCAAATATTGCTTAAATTCGATAATACATATGTATATGCCTTTTGACAGTAGTGAAAGTCTGTAGAAACGACTTAAGGCAAACATTTTTGATTTCAGAACTAAGCCAATTGATGTACAAAAATTATAATTTGAGCTTTGTCAATCTTAGTCAATTTTTTGAAGGGGGTTTTTTTTTTTTTTGAATGCGCATCGATAGTCCTGACCCGTTCTTTTGAAACTCTGTCATTATTTGTCGGAGGTATTCGAATTATGAAAACCCATTCGGACAAATAAAAACGTATTCCCATATTTTAAGTCAACTACGTTCCTTGGTAGTTCAGTTTTCTGAGTAGGCCAGTCCTTCAGCATACTGAACAGTAAGGATCTAGAGTCGAATTCCAAGCACATCGATGTAGCTTTTGCCAAGGGATGAATAGAAGTCTGTTTAAGTAACCCATTGCTCCTCTCATTGGTCATAATTGTTTATATTGTCAAGCATTATATACATTAATAAATTTATAAAGGCAAAGGTGAGCTACATGCTCACCACGCTTCGTTTCTTTTAGTGATAAACTTTTAATTTGACCCAAATCGTAAATAGAATCTTAATAATCGTAATCGTAAAATCGTAATAAAAACAAATATCATAATTAAAAGCCACATAAAACCCCTTTCGTTCTTTTTAATGCGATATCGCCAAAGATAAAAGATACCTGTTAGACAAGTTTTTGGCTTAAAACATAGGAAATGATATATCTCCAACCAACTATTATTAACTTATCATTAAAATTAAGCGACTTCTGTTGCTCTTTTTCATGGCATGAAAGAAGTAGCCCTGTCCTTTGCTCACCTAACTAAAAAACGAAATTGTTGCACATTTTGTAGGGTATGTTCAGAATATGCAAGCGTACATTTATTTCATCAATTGTAGCAATATTTATTGATTGCAAGCAGCTGGCAAGATGAGGCAAGCGAAAAGAAAACTTTTGGCTGGGGAAATAGCGTTGCATAATTGGCTTCATAAAATGTGAGCGGGGCGAGGGGCTCTGCCGGGCATAGTATTGTGTTACATTTTCATTGTTTTTGCAGTGCCGTTTTCCGTTTCCTTAATTTTTGTTCTCATTCTGTTTGTTATCGGCAGCTAATGAAGCGCGAAATAGCAGAGCAACATGGCCCAGAACGCTGTGGGCTTTGTTAATTGCATTTGGAACTATCTATCAAGTTGGCTCGTTGCCTGTCGGAAGGCAAACGAGTTCTGTCTGCCTGTCGTTAGAATTTCGATTTTTTTTTTGGGTTTTTCTCCTATTTAGTTTGTTTTTTTTTTTTTTGTTGCCCTTGGCAGTCAGTCGTGCGAATCTGCAGGCTGCACATGCATCAAAGTCGACGTGCAGCACCAGCAACATCAGCCCCAACGTTGGTCAGCTGCTGAGCAGTACGAACCTGGTTACGTGCATCCGGCTACATAACCAAAAGCAATCACTCAAAATATGAGAAATAGTGTGGCAACCGCAGTAGTTCACTGCAGTCGTGGCATGCAACTCGAGTGCGAGATGGATGGGCATGGCTTAAGGCACAGTCAACGCCCGAAGGTGGGCGTTTTAGATGCTTGGTAAGGGATATTCTAGCAGAAGCAACTTTGACAACAAAACCAAGCGACATGAGCTGAGCATTCGAGGAAGACTCCCAGCCCCATTTACTATGCCTGCTTGTGTATGTAGTTATGGCATGTTGCGTGCACACACATACATGCTGCAAGTTACTGTGACAAGCCACAAGCATTGTCCACACGTACGACAATGCTGACGTCGGCGCCGGCGCCGCTGCTGCTAACGCTTGGCTGCTGTAATTGTGAAGGATGCCATCAAGTGGGCATCCCCTTGTCCTGTGTGTGCCTGCGTACAAGTATATATATCCCTATATACATAACTGTCGCATATTTTAAGCTCAAGCACTCAAAGCAAAAGTGTTTAAGCCCACAAAAAAAAAAGTTGAAAGCCAAAAGAAAAAACTGTTTTCCTTCCTTGGCCGCAGATTAAATACCCTTGCAGATTTACGGGCGATGCGTCATGTACTCTTAATGCTTGGAAGTGTTTTCTTTTAATACAAAAAATTCCTATGGGAGCTACATGAGATAATAATTCCAGCCTGCAAACATTTTACTAATATGTCTGTAGCAAAGAAAAGCTGAGTTGGATCTAAATATCTTGAAAGGAAATTATGCTTTTCAAAGTATATATCGAAGGATTTTGTCAACGGAACCTATATAATATAGTCATCGGATCCGGCTGACGCCAACCTATGCATTGGTTGTACTAAAATCAAGAAAGAACGTCGATGATTAACTACTCTTAGATTATTACTTAGAAATGTTTTGTAGCTTAGCTTTACATTCAACTGATTCTTCCTATAGAATATGTACAATTTAATACATTTTGCAGATATGCTAGGAGAATTAAGGGGGTATGTAATTGCCAAATTTCATCAAGATGTTTCGAACAATAAGAAATACAAGAACTTAATTTTGGATTGACGATGGCCATGGTATATACGATTATCACTATATATATATATATATATATTTATGATATAATGAACCAATTCGACTAATTCCATAATAATAACAAAAATAAAAATAAATGAAAATGTATATCAAAACTGATCAGAGATGTCGCTAATGCCATTTAAATTTCATGCCACAATTTAAATAGACTTTGCAAAGGCAGGCGACAGCTCGAGAGTCGACGGTCAAGTGGCAAAGGCTGCCAAGGTCTTAGGGGAGAGGGCTGGACAGAAATGGGGATGGGACTGGGCTGACGGACCACGTCACACAACTTGATGGCTGTCCTTTGACATGGTGTCATCAATTTGGAATTAATTCTAGCAATTTACACAATTTGCCACAACTTTTGCGCCAGCAACTTTTGCAGCATATCAGCTTTAGTTTATTTTTGTTTGTCTATTTTTTTTTTTTTTGCACGCTTGTTAATATTTTACGTGCTTCTCATAAGGCAATCGGTGTGTCTGTGCCCCATTGATATTTTTGCACCATTGAATAGTTGTTGCCGCGCCGCTGCTTAAATGCAATCAGCAACAAATTGCTCGCAGCTTATTCAAGTTGTAAGCTCAGACGAATGCGCAACACAAAAGTGAGGGAGGGAGGGGCACTTTGAAATGCGTTCAGTGCGCACAATTAGAAGGCAGGCAGATGACTGTGCCCCTGCCACAAAATGCCTCCCACGGCACTTGAAAACTTGCCTCAAGCATTCATTTAATACTGTCGCGCCTCTGGCGCAGACCAAGCGTGCAA